TGGACTCCCCGAACACTACTTTTCAATTGCCCAGGTGCAAAAAGTCATAGTAGTTTGGCGCGCGCACGTCCCTTACCTTTTCGCGAAGCCGTACACAAAATCTAGTCACCGACCTTCTCCCTTACCAGATTGCAAGCCCCAAGCGCACCCGCAGTTGGGGAAATATGTTGTAACTGATGACTGTTGCACCATGACGACAGCTTTGGCTGCAAAGTCGGACTACGCTGGGTTTCAAAATCAGAGCACGCACGAGCAGCAGAGAAACAGCACGGAGATGTGAAAAAGGATTGGGAGGGGGGTCGGAAAACGTTCAAACAAACAGGTGCGACAACATTGTTGCGTTCTCTGTGCCGCGTACTGCGTACGGCGCGACACACGGGAAGGTTCGTGCACGAATGATGTTAAGGCACACATGGGTGTCTCGCCGTTCGCATGGATCTGTCCTCGCGCTAAACAGCCGCGTCGTACACGACCACATAGACATCAGGTGTTGGCAAGGCATATTGTTATGGCAAGAAATCGGTTGCAAAAGCAAGGGCTACAAACTATACGAACCCGAGCTTGCTACGCGAGCATACACACATATCTTCTGTCTTTTGGCACGCAAAAGATTCCGCCGGCGAGACAATCTCGGCTGTCCGTCGCAATCTCGTGACTCAACTGATGCGTTTTATGCGAACACACATGGATCTCATTCTGTTCGCACAAGCATCGTGCGTATGTACAATATATCCATACCAACATACTGCTGCTTCGCTGTTGCGCTCTCCGTGCCGCGCGCTGCGTAGTTGGCTGGCCATATTTTTGCGGCAACAAAGCGGCTGCAAAAGCAAGGGCTAAAATCTATAGGAACCAAACCTTGCTACGCGAGCATGCACACATATCTCTTGGCACGCAGAAGATTCCGCCGGCGAAACAATCTCGGCTGTCCGTCGCAGTCTTGTGAGACAACTGATGCGTTTCATGCTAGCACACATGGATCTCATTCTGTTCGCACAAACATCGTATATATTTACAATATATCCGTATCAACATACTGCTGCTTCGCTGTTGCGCTCTCCGTGCCGCGTGCTGCGTTGGCTGGGCATATTTTTACGGCAACAAAGCGGTTGCAAAAGCAAGGGCTAAAACCTATAGGAACCAAACCTTGCAACGCGAGCATACACACATATATACAGCCAGCCCACATGGATCTCATTCTGCTTGCACAGACATGTTAGTGCGCGCCGTGCGCTGCGAACGCACACACGCGTATCTTTTTTTTCGGCAGCACACATGGATCTCATTCTGCTAGCATACACACATATCTTCTGTCTTTTGGCACGCAAAAGACTCCGCCGGCGAGACAATCTCGGCTGTCCGTCGCAGTCTCGTGACTCAACTGATGCGTTTGATACGAGCACACATGGATCTCATTCTGTTCGCACAAGCATCGTGTGTATTTACAATATATCCGTATCAACATACTGTTGCTTCGCTGTTGTGCTCTCCGTGCCGCGTGCTGCGTTGGCTGGGCATATTTTTACGGCAACAAAGCGGTTGCAAAAGCAAGGGCTAAAAACCTATAGGAACCAAACCTTGCAACGCGAGCATACACACATATATACAGCCAGCCCACATGGATCTCATTCTGCTTGCGCAGACATGTTAATGCGTGCCGTGCGCTGCGAACGCACACACGCGTATCTTTTTTTCGGCAGCACACATGGATCTCATTCTGCTTGCACAGGCATGTTAGTGCGCTCAAACTGCCTGGCGCTGTTTTCCTTCCTCGGTGGACTCCCCGAAGACTACTTTTTAATTGCCTAGGTGCAAAAAGTTACAGTAGTTCCGCGCGCGCACACGTCCCTGACCTTTCCGCGACGCCGCGCACAAAATCTAGTCACCGATCTTCTCCCTTACCAGATTGCAAACCCCAAGCGTACCCGCTGTTGGGGAATTTATCATTAAAAGATCGATATCATTTATAGAATTATATTATAAGTGCGCGATAATAGTATAATTAAAGGCCCCGTTCTTCGTTCACTTAGTTCGCGCTTATTATAATATAGTTCGTGCTTCCATTACAACTATATTATAAGCACGTACACGTGAAGAGAACACCATAAACACTATTAATAGTATTATCAGGGAGTTTACGGACGCATGAATACTATTAATAGGGGCTTATGGGTGAACGAAACATGAACGGCCAAGTGCTCAGGGTCTTATTGTTAGGCCGTTGGCTTCCTCGTAATCAAGGATGACTCAATTTCTGAGAGACGAGGGTAGTGACAGTGAGGAAGTCATTACACCGCTCATGTTGGACGGAACTTACCTGTCAAGGAATTTTGCTACCTTAGGACCTTTCTTAACCTTACAGCCGCCGTGTGTACTTCGTTCATATTATTTTGGTGGATTTCGTGCATTCGTTTCTCTTCGTTTCACTTCTTTACACATCCCCAATATAATATTCTCTTCGTATTTATCTTGTCTTTTCTCTTATTTCATTCTCTTCTCTCGTTTACCCCGCGAATGAATAATAGACAGAGCGCGGGGTGTACGAAGAGAATGGAGAAAAGAGTGTTACGTTCATAATATTATTCGCGCTTCACGAAGTTCATTGCAATAATGTTATTCTCTGGTTTCGTTCGTTCTTTCACTAATTTACTTCGTTCGCCAGTTCATGCATTAAATCACGCGCTTACTTCGTGCACTTGTATTATAATGCAGTGAACTTACTCTCTTCGTAGTTCTATTATTGGTTTCACAAGCTCATGATCCAGGGTTTTATAGGGGTTATGGTTGTTCTTCACGAATCATCTGTGCTGGAACTATATGGTCTAGAGATTCATCCTATTGTTCACGGGTGACAGGGTGATGATAGTACTAATTCCTAGAGTCTAGTTCAGGGGCATGAGGTAGAGGTTGGGTCTCAAGTCTTGTTCCAGCGGTAATACTACTATGAGGAGTTAACTGCCCACGGGTCCAGCATTAGGTTGATTGTATGGGTGATTCAGAGAGCGGTTAACCTGGCATGCGATTCCAAGGGTGAACAGAGTGAGGGTGATGATAGTACTAATTCCTAGAGTCTAGTTCAGGAAGCCAACCAAGATATGAGAGTTAGGGTCTCAAGGGCGGATTCCGGGGATTGAATGGTTGATTCGCGAGCTAGGTTAGTAACTCAAGACATTAAGATTCAGCCCCAATGATAGGTCTTTTGGTCTAGTTCTTGGGCTTCTTTCTACAGGCTCATGCAACCTTAAACTCTAGGAAATCCACCAATCACCAGGGAATATTAACCTTAACCTTACCAGTCAACCAACCTGTTGATTTATGAGATGATCGATATGAAGCTTATAGGCGGATCGTGTCTATCATTCTTTATGGAGATCCATACGGATCTCATATGTGCGATATTCATTATAGATCTATGGAGCGTGATTGCGAAAATATTTTATCAGGATAATTCCCTTCAAGAATTCATATTCGTTGGGAAGTATGATTTATATTACGATCTGAATTAGATTAAATTACATATCATCGTCGGGGGGAATTTCTATGGATTCCTATCGGCGTAAGCGATTTATAATTCGAAAAATTCAATTAAATACGAATCGTCCGCAGAGAGAGAGAGATTCATATGAGATATACTAATATCTCCCGAAATATAGACGAATGAATAGAGAAATTTTTATTCGGTCCATATGATCGTTCTGAATTAAGAGAAATATTTTTAAGGGTCCTTACGATTCGAAATATAAGATTTCAAAATATCGTAAAATATCAATATGAATCCATAAATTATCTTCCATATATTCAAATAGTCGCCATCATCCCGAATTAAATAAGAATCTGACGATTCGTATCGTGATTATATATCAAATATGATCCCAGAAAATCGTTACGAATCCAACCTTGGCTCATTCAATAATCAATGAATGATCCTATATAAAAGAGATCATATTAGCAAGAAACCTTCGCATTCACGACCCATAGAATCTATCATGAATATCACACATCAGAGTAGCACCACAGATCTGTATTCACGTCCGGCATTATTTCTGAAAATACCATTTATGATCATTCGCAAACCAAAGTCTACTCCATTCAGAGACATTGATTAACTCAGGTGTGAGAAGGATGACTAACGCCTTTGGACAGACTCGGTGAAGCAGGCAGATCGGCCAGGTATGATTGCCTGGCTTGACCGCCACAGGTGTCCCGGCACGCTTTACTGCTGCAATTCCAAGGTTGTTAATTGATATAGATTCATTGAACATATAAAGAATAATGATTTCGATCAAGCCATTACGATGATACGGGTGATTCCCTTCTGGCACTTATGGGTTATTTGATATCTTGAATTGCCGTTGCCGAGCCTTAATTTCCGTCACTGATGATCTGCTATGGGAGGTGTCTCATGAATTTGTATTATGAAGTTCACGCCTCGTGGCGGCGGTGTTTCGTCTCCATGTCGGCTCCCCTTTCCCCCACGTAATTCGGGGTGGTGGTGGGTCTTTTGCTGCCGGGGTGCAGGGACCCTGAAGTGATTCTTTTTTCATCATCGTAATTTTTAGATTACGAAGTCCACTAGTAAATTTATCTTCCATATTGTATCTAATATTTGGTTTGACTTGATATTGAGAATATAAGTCTCTTTGAATCGAGGATTCTTTCGAATAGAAGCCTCGAGCCTAATCACTTCTCATCGTATGGATCCTTGGTTGATTGAGAAATGTTTTGAGTGCGAATTTGCGGCTATATAATCTGGATTTCGTCCTTGATATATCTTATTTTTCGGAATCTTCGTTATCTTCTTGTATTATTTGTCTTTCTGGGACGTCTCATTAATTGGCGGGGTGATGGACAAGAAGTTTGATTGATTAATACCGGTTCCGATTCATCGCTTCGCCCACGCTTCTAGCAAATTTGCTGAGTTCTGCTATTGGGTGCCGAGCCACTTAATTTACCATGGTCGGTGTATGTAGTCGGCGAGCGGTCAACAGGGCTGTCCGCTCATGGGTCCGCTCTTCTGCCTTGCACGCAAGCGCATGTACGAAGAGGCATGCGCCAATGTAAGGGGGGCTGCCGAATGCTTCGACCCTGAGTTTGCTGATGACGGCTTTTGCGGGGGCCCGATCTCGCTGGTATGGGCGATCTTCGAACAGGAGCTAGCGCTCGCTGGGAAGCACGGCCTGCACTTCGATCTGAGTAAGATAAAGTTGCATATCCTTGCCGGGGATGATTTCCAAGGAGACTTGCGGCCATTCACAGCACTGGGAATTCATGTCATCAAAAGAACCAATATTCAGATGCTGCAGGTACCTGATTGGTTCAAATTCATTATACGATGAATGGAATCGGACGAAAGTCGACGATCTCAGCAAGAACACTCCCCCACAAATATATCTCCCTCCATCTCATGAAGCAATATTGGAGCTTTCCGAAATTGACGCATTATACGAGGACTATTCTGAGACGTCATCTCGCGCCGGTTTTGGAGGCCATAGTAGCCAGCTTCGAGTTGCGCTCCAAAGACTCGTCGCGTAAGAATTGATGGCAGCAGGCTACATTGCCCACGAAATTCGGAGGTCTTGGGCTTAGTGTGGACGAGCTTTGGATGAGCGGGGGCGTTGTCTACCGGAGTGACTTGAATTTCTTGTGCTCCATTCGACAGGTCTACGGCTCCATGAAAGATATTTTGAAAGCAATCATCCATGCCCACCATGATCCGGCCGAGACCCATGCTCTGCAGAACCTCATCCCTTTTCTCCCGAATGTTTCCCCCCACAGACGGTACGACCTGCCCCAATCACCGCGAATTGGTTCAGGTAGCCTGTCAGAAAATCAGCGATTGTCTTGTACAAGGATCCACTACGAGCGACGCGCTTAGGATTCGAGCGTATCAGCTTCCATGGGGTGATGGTCGGCTCGTCGGAACGCCTAGCATGAATTCAGATACTCTCCTCTGTAATATTGGAGTCCTCGACTCTCTCTCCTTGTGATTTGGATTGGAAAGTCTGATTTCTGGAGGGCAATATCCATTCTATCATCAAGCCATGGATTCTTTGGGGCATCATTCTATGACATGCATGGCGGGAGGAGCTCGCACTCGCATACACTACACCCTCCACGATTCGATCTATGCGGTCGCGGAACGGGCTGGGATGCGGCCACGGCTTGAGGTTGCGGGTCTTTTGCCAAATGCCGAGGGTAGACGCCCGGCGGCTGTTCTCTGTGTGGCTACGCCTCTTCTCCAACAAAATTCATGGTGGAAGTATCCTCGTTTGGCCATAGATATCGCTTTGGTATCTCCGTATGAGGCTTCTACTTTCAACTTGGCCGCATCGGGCTCGGGTGGGGCCGCCACGGCATATGCCGAGCGCAAGCGTCGGGATCATAACACGGAGACGGCCTGCCAGGCTCAGAACATGGGTTTTGAACCGATTGATTTTGAGACAATTGGTGGTTGCGAGATGGGTGCGCGTGGACTCTTGAAGAGTATATGCCAGGAATACGATCGAGCTACGAATTCTCCTTTGGATACAACAAAACAAGATTTGAAAATTCGACTTTTGATTGACATTCAGAGGGGACTCTCTCACATCTTGCATAAATGTCGCGCTGCACAGGCGTCTACGGATGTGGCCCAAGGGGCTATTGGTCGTTTCCTACAAGAGAATATGTTGTGAGACTTGTGGTTCATTCCTTGAGCAGCTTCGTGATATTTGATACGCCAGGTTCGACCCCCCGCGCAGGCGGTGCAAGGGAATGATCGTAGCGCCGTGGCGGGAACTCATTCGAGACATTCTCGAGTTGTCGACTTAGATGTCAAGGCGGTTGTTCGTAATGTTTTGGGATGCATAAGTCCTCCCTTTGTATAGAGTTTCGTCCGGCGTGTGTGTGCGCGTTGGGTTTGGAATTTCGTTTTCTCGAGATTCCTGGTGAATTAGGGGTGGCGGCGGGTTTTTCAATGCACGACTGGGAGTCTCGGGATGACGAAATGATCTTATTATTTGTATTTACTCTGGACGATATTTAATTCGTATTTCTGGGAATACAAGATTCTCGCACAGAAGTTGGAAATTTTTGCATTCGTAATGAATTTGTACTTTTGGGAGTACAAGTCCAATACTAAGCTTGTACTACAAAGCAAGGGATAATCAACCGACTCTTGGATAGTTTTGGATATAGAAATCGTCTATACCTTCCTGGAAATTTTCTAATTGGAATTTTTGGATGGAGAAATCGCTTGCATTATTTCATCGGCACCAATTTCTAGGAGAAAGACTCGATGGATAATTCAAATCAAATGGGAGCACACCCTATCAAATCAATTTTAGAGCTTGGTCCAACACAAGATGGCCAAGAACCGCACTCCTGCCGCACTAGTAGAAATCAATGGCAATAGATGGTATTATTCACGAAATTCAGAAATCTTGAATTTATTGGGAGTGTCCTTCGGGCGAGGAATAATTTTTCAAGTCTATTGAATAAATTGAGGTAACGATGATGCAAAAGATGTATATTCCCAAAAAACCAATTAAGCATGAATCCTCCATAGAGACGAAAATAATGAGAAGATATTATTGTAGCCTCGCAATGGAATAATTTGAATTTCTATTATTCCATTTATGTCTCCATGAAAAATATATTGAAATTCTTACTCCTTTGATCAAGAAGATATGGTCATGCATATCGTCAATTTCATAAGGAAATCTTCCTAGAATTCCGATCGAATGAGAAATATTCTAATTCATAGCGCCGAATCAGAACGAATTATTATCTTATCATGAGAGTTTTTCCTAAGAAGGGGTCATCCTAGCGAACCATTGATAATCTAAGATATCCCAAATGAAAATAATGAGAAAATGTTATTGTAGTCTCCCAATGGACGAAGAAAAATTTATATTCGACCCCATCCAATAGAAAATGCCTTATTAACCAAAATCTCGGATGACAAGAAAAGAAAAGTAGCAATCGAATATTTAGTGTTATGAAGGGCTAAACCATGACACAATACAAGAGATTTGTATTCCCAAAAGCACCAAGCACTTCCGCACTCCCAGGCACATACACACCCCGAATTAGACCCAGGAGAAAAGAAATATCCCAAGCCAAACGAAGAAAAATATCCACCTCGAGGAGGGGGACCCAGAAATGAGATATTTCTCTCGATATAATTCCCAAGTACAATCAAGAAAAAATTTCACAAGTGAATAAGACCATCAGAATTATATCCACTACAGTTGCCACGACTCACATGACGGAACCTGCGCATGGGGGAGTCATCCTGCAAGTCATATCGTATCATTAGCTCAAGCATTCCTGAAGGAATCTCGAAATGATTCCTCCGCCCGCATCACCCGATCCATGATTGGTCCGACAGCGCCCCAACATGAAAGAGATTCCCAGTTGAAAACACCACCTGCAAGAGTCCACAAATTCTCTTCCATGCATTCAAACGCCCGCCACCACCCCGAATTAGAAAATAATTTGGAGACTCGCGTCACATTTATGACGAAATTAAGTCCTATCCTCATGAAGATGAGCGCGAGCGACATATGCGCCCAATTAATTCTGAATCCGAAAGCCCCCGAGCCTATTGAAATCTCCAAGAAGTTTATCGAAACCTTTGAGTTTCGAGTTTAGGGTTTAAGGCTTTCATAGGACCTCGTGAACACAAAGGTGAAGAACATTGCTCATACGCTTGGCCACGGTGTCATCTTATTCCTTATTTTGGAGTAGACCCTAGAGTCAAAAAAAACATACTTCTTAGAGATAGCGCACTATATTAGGAAGTCAGAACAAAAACAATATTCAAGCATGGTACTCCAAAACCCAGCGTTTCGAAAACAACTTGGTCAATTCAACCGACGCCTGTGCAGTGCCAGCTTGTTTGAAACAAACCGCTTGGAAAATTCAGAATGGCACCACGTACTGTTTCTATCTCTTTTGTCTGGAGGTTTTGGGATTTAGGGTTGAGAGTTTTAGGGTTTAGGGCTTTAAGTGTTCAGACTATATAAATGTTGGTATAGTTCTAGCTGGGCTTCTAATGCTTAGAGCGGCTGCTACTGGTAGGGAGATTTGAGGGTCTTTGGAGAGGGGAGCTCTCAAAAGACCTTATTCATTTACTATAGGGTTCGGAATAAATGCTAATCGTATTCCCTTAGGGTTCCTTTATCATTTATGTATACTATAGTAACCCCCAAGACCCTATTCTAATTATTCAAGCCCTTATATTAGCAGGGTCTAGGGGTTCTAGGAAGCTGGCGAGATTTTGCTTCAACATCTAAGAGATGCAAGTGCTCTGCGCAACCTTCAGTTGCTGCAATGCAGCCCCGCATCAGCAGCTCGCCGATGCTTCCCAGCTGACCTGATCAGGTGATGCTGGAGAAGAACTCAAACGAAACGGGGATGTGATGAACCGGAGGGCTTCGCAAAAGGAGCCGCGTGGCATGGTCTTGTGATGAGACAAATGCTGCACGGGATCATGCAACCCTCCATCGAATCAAGCTTCTGCCTTCACCGCCTCTTTTTTGGGGCTCTTTTGCATCTCTGGCCTGGTGCTACACACCAAGTCTGCGGTCTGCGGTCTGCGGGAGAAAGGATTAAAGGAGCGCTTTGAGTTGCATGCGGTTCACATAGGGAAAAGCTCCATGGCTGAGTCGAGCTAAAACATGGGGAGTCTGCAGGTGTAGCTCCTTTGGAGCTCTTCTTGTTCGCGCCACCCGCCTGGCCAACAACCTAGGCAAGCACTGCAGGGCACCCTGTAGGAGAAAAGGCTGCTTTGACAACAAGTCGCCAAACTAGAGGAGACCCTCTCAACCCGAAAGTTGCTGATCACGTGGCGTTTGAGGGCCCCGCAGGCAAGGGATGGGTGACCACGAAGCGACGAAGTAGCCACGAGTGGCTGGCACGCCCCCAAAAGTGTCCCCCGCTGTCGAGAAACAAGTTACACAACTTTTCCAAAAAAGTGGGCTGCATATCTCACATTATGGGTCTGAGCTGTAAGGCATCTCTTTGCTGATTACGTGCCTTGAGTTTCTCAATCAGACTTCAGCATACATAGCCTCGCGAAGCTCGCGAAGTGAGATTGGGGGGCTCACTTACCGGGGGCCCAGCGCCCACCACACTTTTACTGCCAAGTGATTTGGCATCCTAACGTGGCTACCAAAGCAAAGCCTCCGGGCCACTTGGGCCTGCGCTGCGGGGCACACTCTGCCCTAAACTACCTTAACCCTAAACCCTGACAAAAACTAGAGGAAATTGCTGATCACATCGCAGGCAGGCGATGGGTGACCACGAACACGAAGAAACCACAGGCGTCGCTGTGCTATGGGGCGAGCCCCTAAAACAATAACATGGAGATTGGGTCGCGGCAAGAACTACATCAGCAAGCGTCGTGCGCGAGTCTTCCCCTCAGAAAAATCTGGATGTACGTCTCGGTCATCACAAACTCAGATGGTCCTCATGTACCTCAACAAGTCCTTCAAGAGCACATGGCTGCAAGCCTTCGTCGAAGAGGATGCCGATCTTATTCAAGGCAACATCGAGCCCTGCGTCGGCAAGTTCGGCGTCAGCGTCCATTCGTTTGGTCTCAGCGGCGTTGTCGATGGGCTCGTAAAAGCTGATGCCGACCTCCTGCAAGACTTCCTCGAGCCCTTGGACGTTGTTCAGGATGTCAGTGACGTTCGCGCCCCCGCTGTCGGAGGCAGCCATGATGTTGTCGATCGGCTCTGCCTGGGTGTCCACGCTCACACCTGCCAGAGTGTTCTTTGCAAGGTCCTCCTTTCCTTCTCCTTGCGCCTTTCTGCCGCGAGCGTAGCGCAGGTAAATCAGCATGAAGATGCAGCAGCCTGCAACCACGGCAGCAACGGCCACCACCGGCGCCACAGCGATGTTGTTGTCTGCTTCTTCCAGCGTGTTCGGCCGGATGGCAATCTCAATCGGGGGATCCGAAGCTTGGGCCAAGTCCATGCTCAGCACAAAGATTTCAGCCACCTGAAAGTTGGCCTTCGCAAGCTCCAACTGCTCGGCGAGGTTCGTCGTGACCTGGTTTAAGGTAGCCGTGCTTTGTAGAAGAGCCGTCGCGTTCTCCAGGAAGCCGGCCGCATCCTGCTCAAGTACGAAAGCCTTGTACGCCACGAAGGTTGCACGAACCAACTCGACCGCTTCTTGAAGCCGTCTCTCGGAGAGGCGGCGGCCAGTCTGCGTGTCGTTCAACACCGTCAGCTCCACGTACTCTGCAGCCACGCCGATGCCAAGTATGTCGCTCAAGATCACCGCCAGGCCTTCCTGAAGCTCTGCACCATCCGCAAAGGACGAATTCTCTGCTTCTGGAGTCCGGGGCCGAACAGCGAGGTCAAGGAACCCAGAAACCCGCACTGTTGCATTCCAGAAGGTCGTCGTTGTGATGCTCGTCGTCGAACTGGTCCGGCTTGTGCTGGATGTTGTCGTGGTCGTGCTGGACGCTGAGGTGCTCGAGGTGCTCGACGTGCTGGTGCTGGTGCTGCTCGTGGACGTAGAAGTCGACGACGTCGAGCTTGATGAGCTGCATGGTGCTGGATGACGTCGAGGTCGAGGATGTGCTGCTGGATGACGTGGATGTGGCCGAAGTTGATGTTGATGAAGTTGACGTGGAGGAACTGGACGTCGAAGAGCTTGATGTAGTGGATGTTGTACTGCTGCTGGAAGACGTGGTCGTGCTGGACGTTGAGGTGCTGGACGTTGAAGTGCTGGACGTCGAGGTGCTGGACGTCGAGGTGCTCGAGGTGCTCGACGTGCTTGTGCTGGTGCTGCTGGTGGACGTAGAAGTTGACGACGTCGTGGACGTCGTACTGCTGCTGGAAGATGCGGTCGTGCTGGACGTTGAGGTGCGGGACGTTGTGCCGCTTGTGGTGGTGTGGCTGGCGCTCGACGTGGTCGTGCTGCTGAAGGTGTTGCTCGTGCTGGTGGCTGTAAAGGTCGTCGTTGTTGTTGGATCACAGAACGAAGCATTACCCGCATCTCCACCAGCATCAGACGAACCCCAGAAAAAAAAAGTTGCCATCAGTCTTCTTCGCCGCAAACGCTCCATTGTTGCTCAAGATGGTGCTCACATTGGTGAGGTTGCCTGCGACGGCACTTGAATCCCCCCCGTTAAAGGTGTTCCTCCAGGTGACCACGGTCGCATCCGCCTTCAATGCGGCAAACGCTCCGCCATTGGTGAAAATGGCTTCCACGTTGGTAAGCTGTGCGGCGACATCGCCCGCATCCCCTCCGGAAAACGAGTTGCCCCATGTGACCACAGTTCCATCTGACCTCCTCCCTGCCACAGCAGAACTACCCGCAACTATCCAGTCCACATCCGTCAGGCGACCGTTTTCCGTATTAGATGAAGGGTCCCAAATGACCACGGTGCCATCGCGCTGCCTGGCAACGAAGTTGCGATCAACTGCACTGACCGTGTCCACGTTGGTGAGCTGGATTGTGCCCTGCCGAAGTTTCCAGGTCTGAGTGGACCAGTCTCGATACGGGGTGTAGGTCTTCAGCGTGTCATTTGTCTGGAGGACAGCAAGTGTCCCATAAACAAGGCTGACGATTCTGACGATCTCGCGGACGTTCGACTCCAAGAGGTACGCGGCAGCGGCACCGTCGGCACCGCCAGATTGCTCATAGGCATTGGTAACCGCTCCGCCCCAAATGACTGCCGTACCGTCTGCTTTGATGGCTGCAAAGGCATTAGGGTCGCCGGAAGAGGTGATAAGTTGGACAACGTCCGTCAGCAAGGCACTGAAGTTCTGGACATCTCCGCCGTGCCTTGAATCCCCCCAAGCCACCACCGTGCCATCCATCTTTCTTACGGCGAAGGCCTGATCAGTGGCGGCGATTGTGTCCACGTTGCTCAGCTGGTCTGCGACGGAACTCGCGTCCCCACCATTTGCCGGATCCCCCCAAGCGACCACAGTCCCATCCGTCTTCTTGGCCGCAAAGGAATAAAACCGGGTTCCGACGACCTCTTCCACATTGGTTAGGTTGTCTTTGACAGCGCTGGAGTCGCCTCCCCGTTCTGCAGATCCCCAAGTGACGAGAGTCCCATCCGACTTGCGCGCAGCAAAGGCTAGTCCGTTGGAGAAGATCGCATCCACATTCGTGAGCTGGCCACTGACGGCGCTGGAGTCCCCACCGTGCCAATCTGTACCGAGAGTGAGGACGAATCCACCCGGCGTAATGGCTGCCCATGCGCCGCCAGGGCTACCTGAAACAAGCAGAACCGGCGGGCATTGCCCGGCGACTCTTGTCCAGGTGAGAAGGAGGAGGAGGGTCACGAAGGGTGCCATTCTTCTTGTAGATCTAAGGATGTACGATTCTACCCGGCGCTTGCTGTTGAGCCAAAAGGCCTCAGCCTTTGGGTCTCAGGCCTTTCGGGCTCTCAGACCTTGGATATGTTGCGCAGAAGTTTCAAGGGCAGGAGTCGACTCTGCAGCTACTATTCGTGAAGGCGACCAAGTCATTCTTTTGCCTTTTCAAGTGCTCGTCTAGCTTTTGGCTGAATCTGATAGTCTAACGCGTAGGCAACAGATATTCATATGCATTTTTTTTATGAACCGCTATCAGCTTAACTCATTTCGCAGCAACTGGCCTGCGCCCCATGAAACACATCATGTGCTTTTGCTCGGCTTGGTGGATATCCACATGAGCTCCCGACACCTATCGCCGAGTCCTTCTCCATGCTGGCACGGCCTCGTGGCAAGATCCACTTAGATTGGGTTTCGAGTTGAGGGTTTCTGGGGGAGCCAAAAACTGCAGTTGGGGAGGATTCAGGGTTCATGGTTAGGGAGGATTCGCGAGGGCGGACCAGGAAACGAAATATGTGTAGCCCGACTGCATATATTCCTACCGTCATATTTGCATTAACTTGAGGGTCCAGAATTTGACTAGGAAGGCACCAGATCTCATTCATTGCACTGCTATTGGAAACCAAACCAAAGGAAGGAGATTGAAGGGTGCCCAGATCTACGAACCTTAAAACCCTAAACCCTAAACCCTAAACCCTAAACCCTAAACCCTAAACCCTAAACCCTTCGGGCTGCAAGAACTTTAAGTTTCCTTCCTTCCACCACCGAGGACTGCACAAGACCCGAAAGACCCTAAACTCCATGAAATTTGAGGGAACCCTAAACCCTAAACCCTAAACCCTGATGGACCCTCGAGGTGTGGGAAGCCCCCGTCGCCCCTGAAACGTGTGGAAAACACAGCTCTGTAGCCCCGAAAGCTCGGGGAAAACCACGTTTTCCCCCGCTTCGCCCACCCCAATGCAGGTGGAACTCGCGGATTTCCACTGTGTTTCCGTTAGCTTCACGCAACCAAACTTCAGCATGGCACCTGTGCATTACATTGCCGTACGACGTATGGGTTCCTCCGGAGCCCCTTTAGTAGCCGAAGTGCGTCCGTCATGTGCATCATGTCTATGGGAGCTTAGGTCAAAGGCACAGCCTCCCCCGCTGCAGCGATGTACCGTCTGAGGCCCCAGCCGTTGAAAGAAACGTTGTTTTGGATTCAGGATTTAGGATTTAGGGTTTAGGGTTCAGGGTTTGGGGTTTAGGGTTTAGGGTTAAGGGTTAAGGGTTTTAAGGGTTTTGGGCTTAGGGTGCCTGGTTTAGGGTGCCTACGGCGTTTTGGGGACGA